AAAATCTATAATTAGTAGCATTTTTTGTAAATGAACAACCCATTGCGACATTTTTGAAAAGTAGCACACCAAAAGTGATTTTTTGCAATTGTCCCAAAAAAAATCATAAAAAACAATCAAGTTACTTAGAAATATTTTTAGAAAGAAGATTAATTACCCAAAAATGGAAAATCCAATTTAAAATATCGTCTTACAAGAAATTATAACACATTTTGCTAAACTCGTCGTTACCTGCTATGGACTGAGGTCTTGATCGGCACAACATTTAAATGAGTATCATGCTTTTTATTATTAAAACTTGATTGGTTGAAAAAGCATTAAGTAGAGCACTTAGTAACTTCTAATGATCTTCAAATGCTCTTACCCTCAATGCTCTCAAATAGAGTTTTTAAAGAGCATTGACCTATAATATTATTAAAAAATATTTAAAAAGGAGGAGCAATTGCAAAAATGTCACTTTTGGTGTGTACATTTGCAAAAATGTCACTAATTATGGATTTTTAAAGCATAAATCTGAAAATTAGAAACTCTAAAAAATGTTTGAGAAATTTCAAAAAATGCCACTTTTCAAATGCCACTTTACAAAAATGCCACATTTTTGAAATCTTTATAAAAATGCCACTTTTTCAAAATTATTTTTTCTTTATATTATTTATGTTTGGGTTAATTATGTTCTATTATGGTTTAGTTTTGAGGGTTTAGGAGGTTTTAGGTGTCAAAACATTTTTTAGGGTTTAGAATTTTAAGATATAGGCTTTATAAATTTATAATTAGTGGCATTTTTGTAAATAGACACCCCTAAGTGGCATTCTTGCAAATGTGCACATAAAAAATGGCATTTTTGTAATTGCCTCCAAAATGTTTTGACCCCAAAAACCCCTAAACCCTCAAAACTTAACCCTAATACAACATAGTTAACCCATAAATAAAGAAAAAATTGCAAAATGCCACTGGGTGTTCATTTGTAAAAATGCCACTAATTATAGATTTTTAAAACCTATATCTTAAAATTATAAACACTAAGAAATGGTTTCACCCCTAAACCCCCCTAAATCCTAATTGAACATAATTAACCTAAACGTAAATAATATAAAGAAAACATAATTTTGAAAAAGTGGCATTTTTGTAAAGATTTCAAAAGTGTGGCATTTTTTGAAATTTTTCATAAATAAATGATATAATGAAGTTTTTTTTTGAAAAAGTGGCATTTTTACAAAATTTTTGAAAATGTGGCATTTTTGAAAAATAGCATTTGAAAAGTGAAAAATTTTCAAAAAAGAATATTAAATAGCTAATTTTTTTATATAAGATCAAAAATGAATTATATTAACTTTTAATTATTTTAGTTAAAATTTATCATTATTTTATTGATTCTATTATTTTAAAGTAATATCATAATAAAACAATAATTCAGTTAAATATAATTTCAATTTGAAAAGATTATAAAAAAATTATGTTATAATTTTATAAATGTATATATATATATATATTAAAAGTAATCCTAATATTTACTATTAGTTTATTTGTTATAATATTTGTTAAATATTATTATAATAAAATAATAATTTAATAAAAAAATTATTAAATAAAAAATGATGTTATAACTTAAGTTTAAGTTTAAGTTTATACGCAGATTAAGTTTATTCAATTCTTCCAATATAAAATAAATTAAAAAATATTAATTATAGTTAAAAGATTTTTAATTGTGTTCAATCTTTTAATATTAAACAAACTCTCACAAATCACTTCCCAAATAATTTATATTTGTAAATAATAGTATATAAAGTAAAACACAATTTTGTATGGATAACTATGTATGGGTTAGTTTCAGTTTGTATTTTAATTTTAACATAAATATCATTTATTTCTCAACTAAAGCTTTTTTTAACAATGCAATTTTTATTACTA